ATAGATTGGGTCCTTAATTTCACGTATTTAGGGTTTAGGGGTTTAGGGGCTTAGGGGTTTAGGGGTTTAGGGGTTTAGGGGTTTAGGGGTTTAGGGTTTGTTTTTAAAGTTGGGTTCGACTCTTTCGTGTCTGCCAAGCAAGGCTCCCAACAAAGCACTGCCTCTTACAGCGCCCCAAACCAAAAAACCTACGGCCAACTCATTCGACCCCTCACATCTTCACACTTTTAGACGTCGCCCCGGCGAAACATCATGAGGAGGTCCACAGGGAGCTTCAGGTAGTGCAGAAAGTCACCGAAGTCACCGAACTACAAGAAGTCCCAAGACCCAACTCCCCAAAAAGTTCAACCATGTTTCAGGAAGCATCAGGCAACATCTCTCCATTCACAGCATCCCCACGACTTGTCAAAGACTCCGAGAATGTCTCCCATGCCATAGACACAGCGTCCACAGAGGTAGTCCAGAAAGTTGTAGTAGATGACGTGCCCACCCCAGTCCATGTCGTGGTAGTCCAGAAAGTTGTAGTAGGCGACGTGTCCACCCCAGTCCATGTCGTGCTTATTGTCCAAGTGGAACTTACCCAGGTCGTACTCAAGGATGTGCTCGTTCCATTCAAAGACGTAGCCAACCAGGTCGTGGCCGAGGAAGTACACGTCCCAGTCCAGGTCGATGTCCAGGATGTGCTCGTCGAGGTCGCAGTAGTAGTCACCACTGATCCCGAACTCGCCCCATCGGCTTCCACGCACGTCTCATTGTAGGTAGGTGCCACAGAGTCGACATTCATCCCATTGTGAGAGGACTCCATCCTCAACTCCACGTGGTTTCTGCTCGAGGTTCCAGGTGTTTGAGACACAGTCACACCACCATCCGACCCAGCCGACCCACTTGCACTTGTTGGCTCCTCACTTTCGGCAAGGTGTCCCCGAAGTAGCCGAGAGTCACGGGGGCTTCTGCTACGTGTGCGACCCACAGCAGTCGGAGGAGCGTCTGGTGGTTGTAGTTCAACAGGAAGTAGTTCTTGTTGTACCCACGCGTTCTCAACACACCTTTCAACGATCCTTGCAACCATTTCCGGCAACTTCGCCCCGACGGTCTCACACTGGACAAGGGCACTATCACGTGCCTTGGTGCTCAGGGGGTGTTGTGGACGACAGCAGGCAAGGCGCGCACGAAGTACATCAAGTATGGCCTCGTTCGCACGCCCCACTTCGCACAGACAGTGTTGTACTAGTCCCAGAACCCACGTACTCTCATGGCGACGATCCTGTGGTGTAGACGACGTCGACACGATCATCTCCTCAAAGAGTTCGGCGAGGCTGCAAATCGTCTCTCTGTCCACCCCAGCCTCGTGCAGGTACTCCCCTTCCACATGATTCAAGCGCTGCCTGAAGAAAACATCATCACCATCCCACTGCGACGTAGCCGACGTAACCACGGAGCGCGGCAAGCTCGAGGAGCAGGAAGACATTGCACACGGCCAGGTCGCCCCAACAGAGCTGGCCAGCACGGAGGTAGGGGACGTAGTACTTGGTGTCGCCGAGAGTGTTTCCGGGGTAAGCGGTCCCACGCCCCATGTAGAGGTTGTAGTAGCACAAGCACTCGTAGAGGTTGTGGTGTCTTGACCAGCCACGAATGGCACCTCTGGATCACTTTCTCCATTGCCGCTTGCTTCATCCTCGCTCGACCCTTGTGGTGTTCGCGACCCATGTTCAGGTGGTTCATGTTCTGCTGCAGCTTCTTCCTCCCCGGCTCTTACATCACCAGCTGCTGCATCCGCCGTATTTGGCCGCAATCTAGCCAGGCGATCGCGGAAGTCTGTGTCAGGGGGGCGCCCCAGCAGGTATTTCTCGTAGAGCTTCACGTGCACGTTGTTCTCGAGCAAAGGCAGTGCGCGCGTCCAAATATCGCCCCCTTGCATCACCACTTGCTTCTTCAGCTTGACGAAGGTTTTCTGCTGCAGATTCTCTTCGCCCTTCCATGCGTCGCAAGAGCAAGTTGTCCCGCCCCGGTTGTCCTCGCGGAGGTCGTTGTTGTTCTCGAAAGCGCGGTGGAAGGAGGTCTGGCCGCACCCAAGCGTCATCAATCGCCCCATTGAAAGCCTGCAGAAAGACGTTGGCCATAACCGCCCCTTGTGCACGGCAGGGATATAGGAGGCGCGCCCTGGTTGCATCATCACTTGGCAAATAAGCGCCCCCAGCAACTTCACGTTGCTCCAGCATGTTGATGATCTCCAGCAGGATACGCACTCCATGACGAAGAGCACGAGTGTGAACGAAAAGGCTCCACATGGCTTGGGCACGAACATGCTGCGGTTGTCCCCGGTCTCCAACTTGTAGTGCCAGTTGTCCCAACCAGGTGTCGATATCCGTGAGATCCGCCCCGTCGACTCCTTCATTGGTGAGGTCTTGCCATTCGTCCATCATGAAGGTTTGCACTAGACTCATCCCATCCAACGTGTCCTCGGCTTCAGGTTCCGAGTTATGGTTGGCTTCGCCAGTTGCGCCCCTTTCACGACTACGGCTTCTGGAGCGTTCTATCAGCGGAGCATCCCCAGGCCGAACAGGAGCAGGTTCAGCGGCAGGTGCAAGACGATCGGCTGGTCGCGGTGGAAGAGGAACTCCTTCAGGAAGGCGCGCAAGTCGCGCCGAGCGGTAGCGAAGGAGGTCATCCGCAATCCCCATGAGTGTACGTAGTATTCGCCCCGCTGGTCCCAATAGTCTGGTTCTCTGAGCTGCAATCCGAGGCTCCCTCACCAACGGGATGTGGCACGCAGGGTTGGGCGACAGTCTCCGCTCAATGATCTCTGTGATCGACTGCAGCACCCCCAAGACATGTCTCCAGCGCACCAGCCAAGTGCGTAGTGCCCACCGCCCCTCCGGACCCTCGTCCATATTGTCAAGTTCATGTAGTGCACGGAGAAGGTGTCGCAGCTCACGTCGCCCCTGGTCATAGATCCCGAGGTTTTCCAGCTCGGCTTCCTCAGACATACCCAGTTGCATGAAGACTCCATCGTCATCATCATCGTCCCCGCCTGTGGCAGTTTGCCAGTCTTCCCAATTCTTAGACGTCCAAGAGGGTTGTGAGACACGAGGACGGGCGTGGCTTGCATCATCGGCCTGGCTAGCCTCATCTCTCGGCCAACTTTGGACAGTTGGGGCATCACTTTCATCCCCATCTTCCAAGCTGTGACCAACATTCTCCCCAGGTACATCAGGATGGCGATCTTCCCGCGACAGGTCTTCTTCCTCCTCTTGTAGCCCAGTTGTCGAGGAAGAGCACGACGTGTGGTCCTCCGCGACGTCCTCCAACCAGTCAACTTCTTCAGCTTGTGGTACAGGCTCATCCCATACGGTTGTGGCTTCATCCTGTAGTCGCTGTAGGTGTCGGTTGAGAAGGTCCTTCCAGTCATGATCACGAGCTGCATTCTGTCTCTTTCGCCAGGCGGGAACGAATACGCCCCGTACCCATTGATCCACCCTCGCCTGCCTTTTCGATTGTCCCATCGTTCCTTGCCCGCCTGTATGGAAGCGTTGCTCCTCTTGTGTTCTCTCTCGCCCCACCCATTGTCCATATCTGTAAAATCCAACTCGCGAGTTCGCTTGTTGGCTCGTGGAAGTAGCTGCCGATGCATCCCAAGGCGGAGGTCCCCAGTCTGCAGGGTCACTTGGCCAATGTCGGCTCGCACTCGACGACGCACCAGCAGAGGGAGCTTGACGTGGTCGTCCCGAATCACGTCGTCCATGTCCAGGTAGATCTCGCTCACGTGGATGTCCCGGGTCGTGTTCACGGCGAGCACCCTGATCTGCTTGTCGAGCTTGGGCCGGATCATGTGGTCGTCGGTGATCGTCCCCTTGTGCTTGTGCTGGATCCCTCTGCTGACGACTACTTCGACCTGCAGGTTGTCCTGGATCGTGTAGTCGCTGTGCACCCTGATCGGCTTGTCGAGCTTGTGGTGGATCGTGTCGCCGTTGATCACCCCCCCTAGTGGAAGAAGAGGTACACTTCCTCCAGGACGTCCAGTTTCCTGAACTCGCTGGGCTCCTTGATCAGCTTGTTGAGCTTGGGCAGGATCATGTTGTCGTCGGGCAGCTTGGCTGCTTTGACGAGCTTGGGCAGGATCATGTAATCGACGATCACGTTCACCTCCCTGAAGTCCAGGGCCAGCGCCTCAGTCCCAACTTTGTTGGGTCTGCGAAGAGGAGCTCGACTGTGGCAACTGTCGTCCCCAGTTGTTGCTGTTTGAGTTCCATTGCGAGGTGTCTCCAGGCGCCCCATGGACCAACTTGTTGGTGTAGTACAGGGCAACCAGAAGCGTCACGAAGATAATCCTCCCCTTGACATAGAGGACGGCCATGTTTGCGGTGCAAAGGCCTACGAATTGGCTCCCCAGAGAAAAACTTTCACGTGTCAAGAACAAGTCGAGTAAAGACGTCGGTTGCATGTAGAAGACAAGGTAAAAATAGTCATCAGTTGCATGAGGAAGTCGTGCTTTCATGATGTCAAACAGCAAGGACTCACACAAAGGCTGGGGAGAGGCTGCAGTGAACACATCAGCTTGTCAAGCTTCACACGTCCCACTGGTCACCCTCCTACATGCCAAGGCAGAGCTGACGCCCCCGAGTCCAGGGCACGTCCATGTCATCTAACCACTTCTTCATGAGCTGTTTCCACGCTTCCCTTTGCTCACACGCATGGTACCACTTTTCCCCGAGACAAGAAGCCAAGGAACGTTCAAGGTTGGCTGCTCGGAAACGCTTGGGGTGTCTTGCCCCAACAGACGAGTGTTTCTGAGTGTTCCACCACCCCAATCCACGCCAGAGCTGCATTCTCGCTGCGAGTCCTCGTAGTTCTCCCTCGCGCTGTCGCATCCAGTGTCCTGCAACTTGGTATTGGAGCCTCAAAATCTTGGCGCTCCATCGCTCCGCCCCATGGAAAGCCACCCACTGCCGTACATGACGAAGTGATCGGGAGTTATAGGCGACCCAATCCTCAGTCGCCCCCCTCTTGACTCCGAAGGCCAGGCGCAGTACTCGTAGCTGTGTGCTGTTCATCATCTGCAGGTCCCCCTCCTCCCAATGCACTGCCCCCGCCGACCAGCTCCACACCCCTTCTATCAGCATTTGCACCAGGTGGTACTTGTTGTTGTAGGAACCAGCCCCACATAGCAACTGCTTGTGCTCATGGAAGGCTCCCCAGACTCGGCCACGTAACTCCCGAGCTTGCGGAGAGGGGCAAGCGTCCAAGTCATAGTCGAGGCCCAGGACTCTAACACTGCTGCCGCCCGGAAGCACCTCGACATTCTCCCCATCTACACAGACAGTTCTTCGTCCCTTGTAGTACTTGCTCGCGACAATCGTACTTCTCCGCCCCCAGGAGCTGTACCATACAGGGTGTTCTCCTGCCGGACAATGAGCAGGAAGCGCCATTCAAAAGGCACAGATCTCCCCGTCAGGCGGTCACGCAGGAAATTGGCAATGGCTCGTCTGCTGACATTATCAAAAGCAGCTTCAACGTCCAACTTCGCCAACACCACCCCCAATCGCCATTCTCTGCACATGTCACGCAATCGCCCCATGCACCCATGTAGGTCAGCTGTGCTTCGGTTATGGCCGCAGACAGACCACGGCGAGACATCCCTGAGAAAGTGGAAGCTGCGATTCATGACGATCTTCGACAGGAGTTTCATCCCAGTGCACGACATGGCAATTGGTCTCAGGTCTTTAGCTGGGCAGCAGGGCGAGGATAGAATCGCCCCAGTCTCGAGGAAGTTGGCCCTGCAGCAAGACTTCGTCCAAGAGGCCACTTAGCTGAAGAGGATGTTCTTCAAAAACTCGGCGCAGCAAGTCGACCCCAACACCATCTGGCCCAACAGCAGATCGCGCTCTCATCTTCACAAGGGCATCCGCAATCTCTTCGACCCGTGTCGGCCGAAAATCGCCAGGATGGCACGGTACAGCTGCAATGCATTCTTGGAGCTCCTCATCCCACTTAATGTCCTCGACCCACACTTTGCTTTTAAGTTGAGCTTCGACTGCTTCGGCAACCTCACGTGAGTTCCTGTCCTTGAGTAGTTGACCCCACCAATTTCGTCGCCGTTTTTCGGCCTGGATCTCCCTGTAGGCAAACCAGTCTCCCACTGTCTCTTGCTCTTCCTCCGGATGTAGTGCACCTCCCGCCGTGCCGTTTTGCTGTCTTCTCCCCGACATCGACGGGCATGTTGTGCTGCAGCGCGAACTTCTGGAGGATCAACGTATCGTCCCTTCCGTCGTGGAGCAGTGAGGCGATGCGCTGCAAGGCGAATATCGTCCCACGTTCGAGGCATGGGCATCTCAACGTCCTCCTTCACCCAGCGGGGCCGGGTGTCTCACCATCGCCCCCATTGTGTACATTGAACTTCCAAGTCAAATTCGAGGCGAGCATGGTCTGTGTTGCTGTGGTATCGAACATCTTCGTTGACGACGATGGCTGAGGTAGCTAACATCCTTGAAACAACAGCGTCTATATGGCGACCGTCCCTGGAAGGATCACGAGGGTAGTGGGTGGGCTTTCTTCTATCTTCAGGCCTCGGAGCACATATCTGCATACGCACATCCGAGGTTGCTTCAAGGAACTTGTCAAGCTTCGTCCCGGAAGAAAGAGGAACTCGCCCATCATCTTCATCTTCCGGAGCATTTGTCCAATTCAAGACCTCGTTGACATCCATCCCAATGCAGCACGGCAGGTCAGGGTGCCACCGTATCATTGCTTTCCTGAAGTCTTGGACCGCTCTGTGGTACACTGACGTAGACACCCCAGTGGGAAGGTGCAAGGCGCCAAGGATGATCCTCCTGTTGTTCCTCATGCGAACAACCCACGCAGCTCCTTTATCAAAGGCGATGCGATCGGTCCAGCAGTCATAGACATCATGTGATACACCGACCCCAACCCCTCTCCACTGCCCAGCACTTTGATGTGACAACCACGTGAAACACTCTGTTGTAGCTTCGCCCCAGCCTGCTTCTCGTCTCGGCATTTCCTGTACTAGAAGAATGTCGAAGCACCCTCCAACTGTATCCACTTTGGTAAGGCTTTTGTCCACTAACATTCCAAGAGGCACATCGGCGGCGAACACTTTGAGTGGCGCCCCCCAATTTTGCCTTTCATGGACACTCCAGTCTGATGCATTTCCTCAGTCGGCGATTCAAGTTGTCGCCCCAGACTGTCCACGGTGAAACCCTTCGTTGTGGTTCACAGCTCCCTTGCCACGGCTGCCAGGGCAATGTCGAAGACCACCCCGGTAGCATGTGCCATGGCCATCACGTCAATCCAGCCGGAAGAGAGGAGCTTAACACTGTCGCCCCGAGGAGGTCGATGGGTGCTCGACCCTATTTTCCATTCGCCCATCCAAACCGACCCACTGTTCCAGTCTACCTCGTAGGCACTGTCTTCTCCCCCTTGTGGATTGTGTGCTTCGCCGTTGAGCATCGCGTCCTTCACCAGCATCGTGCAGACGCGTCTGGTGAGCGACCCATGGGCAGGCCTCTTTCTGGCTTCTCTGGTTTTGGTGAAGGAAGCCCACATGTTTTTCCCTTCACCGCCCCCAGTGGCGGTGGAGCGAAGTCGTACTGGCTGGGATCGAAGGTTCTGAATCACTCCCCACATTCTGTCCCGGGTTTGGGCCAAGGTCTCCCCATCACGGAGTTTAAATTTAAGGACGCCGAAGGACCTCCTCGGCCCCCAAACCAGAATCTCTTCCTGATCGATGAGCTCGACGATCTCATGGCGCTTGAGAAACTCCCCCGACTCCTCGATGATGATCTGTTTTTTGGTATCCTGTCCCCAGCCACCTATGATCAACATCCTTTTGTCCTCTTCCGTGAGTTCGTCCCGGCCAAGAGGAGGTCCGCCTCCCGGTGCTGCGCTTGCGGGCCCTGCACCAGGACCTGGAGAAGTGTCTGGACGAGATGGTCCGCCCCCAAAGGGAAGTCGTGTTTGTTTGCCCTTGTAGTACTCCGCCCAGGGGTCGCTCGTCCCACCAGACTTCACGTCAGCCTTGTTGTTGCTGCTCCCCTGCTTGATCTCCTCAACGGTCTTGGTGAGCTCAAGGACCTTGACTTCGAGGTCCGCTTCTTTCCTTTCAATCTGCGTGACCCTGGACGATATAATTGCACGGTCCTTCTTGGCGTCCCGGATGTTTTGCTTCGCCTCCTCCATGTTCTGCTCGACGTCCCCAATCCTCGACGTGATTTGGGCCCAGTTCGCAGTCATGGTCTGGAAGTGCTGGTTGAGCAGAGCTCTAAACTCCCTGGACGTGACGGGAACGTCATCCCCGGTGGTCTCCCTGAGCTCCCTGGCGGCCAGCCTCTCTGGAGCATGTCGATCTCGTCGGGCAGGAGCAGCTGGTTCAGCAGGGACACCAGGATCACGAGCACGTTTTGCACGCCCCGGACTGCCACCGATGTCGTCCACATTCATGGCCTCAGTCGCCCTCCGGTTAGTCGTACCACCGGAACCAGCTTCTCCTTGTCCCTCCAGGCCCTCTTCTCCGTCGTCCTCTCCCCCGACTAGGTCCTCGTCATCGCCATCATCAATGATCTCTGTTGGACTGCCCCGACGATCCATTACCGAAGCGCCCAGAAGCCGTACAGGAAACGGTAGATCGGGTAGAAGGACTCGCGAAACCAACTAGACCTCACCTCGAACCACAACGCCTTGAGCCGTAGCCATGGGTTTAGGGGGTTTTGGGTTTAGGGTTTAGGGTTTAGGGTTTAGGGGTTTAGGGGCTTAGGGGTTTAGGGGCTTAGGGGTTTAGGGGTTTAGGGTTTAGGGTTTAGGGTCCCTTCAGGGTTTCGGGTTTGGGTTTCAGGGATCGGTCTGTTACGAGGTGACTCAGGGTTCAGGTTTATGGGCTCGGAAAGCAGCAGACAGAGGCTCAGCTTGGAATGCTGAAACTCCAAAATACAAGCTTGGAGCTTGTTGGCTTTAGGGTTAGATTTCGGGACTTCAAAATTGTATCAGCTTTAGTTAGGATTTGATAATCTCCGGTTTAGAACCCCAAACCCTAAATCCTAAACCTTAGAGCCCAGGTACATCGACGTCAGAGATGGACGGCGGCGTGATGCCAACGCATAGGTAGGAGTCCTCGTGGCACGCACAACTGTCCTTCCTACATGTAGGGTTCAGGGTTTAGGGCTTTAGGACCTACACCCGGAATCCTGACCCCTCATGCCGTCGTGGTTGTACTCACTCCTGGAAACATTGTCTCCACTCGTCGCATTTGTTACTTGAGCTCTTTGCTCCAAGGACGGCCATAGTCACAACGTGCTCATTGACTCAGAGAGCCCTTCACGGCGTAATCAAGCAAGGGGGGCTTCG